CTCCCCTCCTTCCCTCTCCTACCCTACTTCTCCCATATCCAGTCCTACACCCTCTTCCCCTTACCCCCTCTGCCCCCTCTCCCACCCCACACCCCTCCCCTGACCTTCCTCTCACGGGCTTTTTACCTGCCACTTTGGCCTAAGAGCAGCTTGATCTCCCATTATCTACTTTGTGTTTCGTCCACCACACTTTTGCTGACACTGTAGCAATCTTGGCCCCGATAACCAAGGCGAGTGCTCACCATTCTTTTAGACAAGTCTTCCCGAAAAGCAGTGTTTCCTCGTCATACTTTCAATGAAATCCCCAAAACCACAGCGTATTCTCACCATGATTTTACTGAAACTAAAGCGTTTACTCGCCATACTTTCGCCGAAGCATTCTTTGAAAACAGCCACCATACTTTTGCACACAGTATTACACCCTTTCGCACACATTATAACTACCTTTGCCTCGAAAAAAGCGTTCATCTACCATACTTTCACTGACACCACAACAATCTTTGTCCGTAAACCGCAGAGCTAACCAACCATTCATTTACCATACCCGACCAAGAAAAGAAAAAGTAGAAGAAAAAAAGCATAGCGTTGGTATACCATACTTTCGCTAATACTATAATTTACGTTTCATTCCCTGTCGCTCTTAAACCGTGTCTGTTGTAATCTCTGCTGTTTTTCCATCGTTCTCCACTGCCATTGCCATAACTCTGCATGTAATCACATACTTTGTGTTGGTATGATATTTTTATATTCATTTATTCGCTCATTTACTTGTTTAGATATTTATTTATTCATTAATAGTTATCATTATTTTTATTATTATTGTAACAGTTTTATCTCTTTTAGTATTACTAAGTAGTAGCAGCAGTAGTAGTAGAAATAGTAGTAGTAATAGTAGTAGTAACAGAAGGATGTTATCTCTTGCAGCAGTACTTCCCTAGTTTCTATGCCTTCAGCTCTGCCACGTCAATTCCTCATCTTATTGACGATAGTAACAATGAGACAGAATGCAATCAGATATCAATTAGTTTTTCGGTTGTCAGTATGTGACAAATCAATAACATGATAATAATAATGGTGATAATAATAATAATAATAATAATGATAATAATAATGATAATAATAATAATAATAATGATGATAGTAATAAAAATATCTTTCAACTTTCCCTCAATACATTCCCCGCGTTGAGCTCTTGACATTTATTACAAAGAAACAAGGCATGTAATCCTGACCATATGACACAAGCACCACCACGGTCTCATCTGACGAGTACTGAGAAATCAACGCATGAAGTTCGTCTGACATGCAGAAAAAACCGGTGGTGTTGCTGTCTCGGAGCGCTCGCCCTCGAGACGGTAACCGTTTGTCTGAGACACAAAACCAACCACACTGATTTATGGGTGAGATTATACGTAATTCCTCCTTCCTCTTTGCAGTCGTATTTTTCCAACTGACTTTATTAGTTAGATCAATATTTGACGTTGATATCGTGCTTGGCAAATCGCAAAGGCTTCCCACAACGGAAAGTCCTCGGTGAAATTAACGCACAGATTGCTTCAACGCAGAGCGGCGTCTTCTCTCCTCGCTAAAGCTAAAAGTGTGTAAAGAAGAGGGGAGGAAGGAAGAGTGGGGATAGGAGGAGGAAAAGGATTTTAGGAGAAGAAGAAGGAGCCGGGGCTTCACCCAGCCTCGCGAGCCTGCAGAGCCAGAGGAACTTCGTTATGCTGCCTCGGCGTAGCGGCGGCGGGACGTGAGCCGCAGTGGCTGCCAGCGCCCTTGCGGCCGATGCGGAGACGGTGCTAGGAGTTCTCGAGGACTAATTCTGGATACGACCACCGTTCGCGAAAGTTATTGCGTGTTCTTGCACGCACGGAGTCTATTTGCCGCCATCCCCCACTCTCTTTCTCTTTCTCTATCTATTTATCTATCTCTATCTATCTAACTACCCATCTATCTTTATATCTATGTATCTATCTGTCCGTCTATCTATTTATTTGTCTATCTATCCATCTCTCTTTATATCTATCCGTTTGTCTATCGTTCCATCTCTATATATCTATCTGTTTGTCTATCTATCTACTTATCTATCTATCTATCTATCTATCTATATGTATATGTATGTTCATCTCTATACATATGTTATATTTTCCGCTCTTCATCCCGCCCCGTATCCGGCCGCCTTCCCGCGCCCACGCAGCCCAATTCCCGTGCCTGCCTCGCGCGAGCCAGCCGCTGCGCGAGTCAACTTCCCTCGACCTTTCCAGGAAGTCACCTCGGCTGCGTGACCGAGTTCGACGGGCTGGGCGGAGAGCTGAGCCACGCCCTGAGGGACGCCCGCGACGCCCAGATCCACATGGACGACGATGAGCACTTCACCCTCGACTCCGACCACGGCACGAACCTCCTGAAGGTGAGGAAAGCGTTTTGCTTTCTCCTTATATGTTTTTCCCTTCCTTTTTCCTTGTATTTCTGCTTTCCTGTTTGACATGTATAGTTCTTGTCCTTGCGTCTTGTTCGCTGATCGCGTAGGAAGAAGAGAGAGGAAAAGTGACGATCGGTATATATTTAGCGACGGCTGGTGCACCTGACCTCCTTGTTTATTATTGTTCTTCTTGTTTGATTGAGAGAGCAGCGGAGCTCGTTTGTTGATCTCGCCGGTTTGTTGATAAGCTGTTTCCAATATATTTTATGACGGGATCTCGAGTGCATTTTGAATGCGCCTCGTTTATTGTTTCACCCTTCGCTGCTTATTCTCCCTGACGCAGGTTGCGGTGCACGAAATAGGGCACGTGCTCGGCCTGGGTCACGTGCTCAGGAACTACTCCATCATGTACGCCGTGTACGAGAAGGTGCTGCCCAACCAGGGCCTCGAGCTGGGCTGGGAGGACAGGAAGCTCGTCCAGAGGATCTACGGCCGCTGCGTGGGCCAGTTCAGCACCGTCTTCGACTTCTTGCGCTGGCGCTCCGACGGCTCGCTCTCCTACAACACCTACTTCTTCCGCGGAGACCACTTCTGGATGTACGAAAACAAGTGAGTGGTTGGCTCCCTTCTAGCTGGGGGATTCCTGAAGGTTGTTGAAGTCTCATTGGTTTTTCTTCTCCTTATGGCCTCTACACTCTATTCTGATCGAGTTTTATTTTAAGATATTTAAGCGACCGTCTCACGACCTCATTTGTCTTAAACCCACTTTCCTTTCCCTTCTGCCACAATCACGTCCCTCACCTTCCTCCTTCAACTCCTTTGCTCCCACTTCCCTCCCCTCCATCTCCCTTACCCCCACCTGCATCTTCCTCCCTCGCCCCCACTCCTAACTCCCATCCTCACCTCTCCCGCTCTCACCCCCACCTCTCCCACCTCATCCTCAACCCCACCTCCCTCTCCCTCGCTAAACTCTCCCCTCCCTCGCCGCAGGTACAACCGGACGCGCTTCGGGGACCCCCTGTACATCGACACGGAATGGCGCGGCCTCCCGGGCGACGTCGACGCCTACACCCACATCTTCACCAGCACCAGGGACTCCCACCTCTTCTTCAAAGGTCAGACGAGTCTCGCATCGTCGTTGTTTATGGCAGACATCTGTTCTCTCTTCGTCCTTCGTCCCCAGGCGGCTTTTGGGAAGGAGGAGGGGGTAGGGAGGGAGAAGGGAGGGAGGTAGGGAGCGAGAAGGGAAGAGGGCAGGGAGGGAAAGGGGAAGGGAGGAGAAGGAAGGGAGGGAGGGAGAAGGGAGGGGAGGGAGGGAGAAGGGAAGGGGTAGGGAAGGAGAAGGGGAGGGGTAGGAGGGAGAAGGGAAAAGGGGTAGGAAGGGAAGGGGTAGGGAGAGAAGGAGGAGGGGGAGGGGGAGGGAAGGAAAAGGAGGTACTCGGTGCATATGTCATCTGTTCTCTTTTGTTTTTCGTTGACCTGAAATTTCTGAAATGAGAAATTATTGCGTATTTCAGGTGTTTGGTGGTTGTTTTTTTCTATAGGGTGTGTTGGTCCTGCCCTTACCCTCACGGCTGTTTTCTACCTATATCCTTCTTCCTGCCCCTTTTCAGCAAATCAGACTGATAACGGAATGCCACCGAGATAATATTTTGCATAATCTCAACAAGCAATGCCAAAAGATATCGCTCCCTTTCGTCTCTCGGCGACCAGATGCTTCGCTAAGTAAAAGATCGTCTGTTTTGACATCACGGCGACACTATGACTCATTTGCAGAAGCACACAAAGGGAGCGAAAGGAATGTCAGGCGAAGTGTTTTATACTTGGGCATGAGTAGCAAGCATGCCTGTGTACTTCTGTGATTATGACGTGTGCGTGTGTATGTGTGATTGTGCTTGTCTTTGTATTTGTGTGTGTGTGTGTGTAGGGGGGGGGATTGTGTGTCTTTGAATTGTGTGTTGTTGTGTCTTTGGAATTGTGTGTGTGTTGTGTGTGTGTGTTGTGTGTGTGTGTGTGTGTGTGTGTGTGTGTGTGTGTGTGGTGTGTTTTATTTTACACACTTCTTTCATGGCCCGACATAATATTCTTAACCGAAGATAGATGTTCATAAATGATAATTGTAAACGCATTGGTATTACTCCCGATTTACTTTTAGACACACATCAGCAGGCACAGCTTTATAACATCAATATGATAGTAGAGGAAACTGCAGTTATTTGGAACATGAATTATTAATCAAATGTTATTATAAAGTCTACATCCTTAAAGGAGAAATAATTTCCGAATCATTGTCAACGTTTGAAAAACTTTCGTGAATTATCAATATAAAATCACTTCCTTATATCACTTTTCCCAGGGAGTGAGGAGAGAGAGAGAGAGAGAGAGAGAGAGAGAGAGAGAGAGAGAGAGAGAGAGAGAGAGAGAGAGAGAGAGAGAGAGAGAGAGAGAGAGCGAGAGAGAGAGAGAGAGAGAGAGAGAGAGAGAGAGAGAGAGAGAGCAACCTGTCAGAATTCCAGATGCCATAGTTGGTCTTAATGAAGAATGCTATCTTTCACTTCTTAACCAGAATCAGATTATG